AGAAGAAGAAGAAGAAGAAGAAGAAGAAACGCAGAGAAGTGCAGCTAACCTTTTAAGAAACTGGACTGTGCAGCGAACACAACCGGAACAGGGCGATATCCAAGAAACATTGCATTGTAGAGTATCCAGTCTCATTATCTTTTGAGAGAATGGACAAGGTTGTAGACTTTAAAGTTTTCAGATGCATATGCTGAATTGGTACTTTTGGTCACAATATCAGAGCTTGTTTTTGCTTTGAGCAGTGGAGACGTGATATATTACTGGATTTCTAATTGTAGCCGGGCCGCTATACTTTTAAAATATTTGAATATATTCAAAGTGTATAGCCGCTCGGCTATACCTTTTAAATATAATATTTTAAGAGTACAGCCGCGCGGCTATACTTACAAAATTTTCGAATACATTCAGAGAGTATAGCCCCGCGGCTATACTTGTAAATTATTCGAATATATTCACTGGTTTTCAAGTATCCTGCTACATAAACTGTGTTCTAAAATATTCCAAATCTCCATGGTTCTTACATGATCAACTTGCAGAACCTACACTGTAGAGATGCTGAAGTCACTGGTTTTGTAGATGTCATAAAAGATAGACGTACCATGATGTAGAAAGTAAAAGAGGTAGCTGATACACATAAAGCAAGACAATGTTGAAGCCTGCATACAAGTGAAAAGGCGTCCCCCAGTTAAAGTGTATGCAATCTATCTTCTTTCATCTTCAATGTTTACTATTATCTATACTTCTTGAAATTGCTTCATGTTCATTATCCAAAAAGAGGACCACGATATGCAGACACATTCTTTCATTTTCTCATTCTAGGTTATTTATTTCTTCTTTTTTGGATTGCTAAGGTGGTTCAATTTTATTACACTTCTACGTTTTATTTTTTACCTTTTCATTTTGCTTGAATGATGCTTCTAAGTTCTTTCCTTGGTTTCTGGTTCATATACAAGGACTGGTTCGCGCCTCACGCTGCAGCAAAATTAAAGTTCCCCTACTACTGGAATGAAGAGTGCCTTGAAGTCGAACCGCCGCCAAAGGACAAGCTATGATATCTGAGAAACATTGCATTGTAGAGTATCTAGTCTCATTATCTTTTGAGAGAATGGACAAGGTTGTAGACTTTAAAGTTTTCAGATGCATATGCTGAATTGGTACTTTTGGTCACAATATCAGAGCTTGTTTTTGCTTGAATTGTGGAGACGTGATATATTACTGGATCTCTAATGTAGCAATTATTCTCACAAGCTATTCAATGTACATTTCCAAGCCAAAACCTTTTTTACAAGCAGTAATACAATTTTCAATTTTTGTTTGTTTTTACAAGCAGTAATACAATTCTCAGAGGTAGTCAAACGTTTTAGACATCAATATAACTCCTGTTCACTGGTTCTCCAAAAATACGTTTGATTGTGTAAAATATAAAGAGAAAAGAAAAGGATTAAGGACGAACAACTCTCTTATAACAGAATTCACAAGTGGACACACAGTCATCACTTTTTTTTGGTCATGCTTCGCCTTACAGACTCCTTCTCTGCAACCAAAACATAGAACTCTGAACCGAGCATTTCATGTATAGCAACATTTATAGAAGTGCTCAAATCAACCGTCTCCGTGATTACTTCTACAGTAATATTGAAGCCTAAAGTAGACAATACGCGGATAGCATTTGCAGCCCTGCATATGTTCTCTCTTGTCTCTTGCCGAGTGTAGTTTTTCTCTTGATATTCGGGACTAAAGGAATTTTCATCAGGTTTGGCATCATCTTGTTCAGACTTGTTCACTTGATCCACTACCATATCGTCTGTCACTTGAACATGTTCCCCAACCCAGATGAACCCATTACAGCCAATTATCAGGTCAATACCATAGTTTTCTAAATTATGGAAGTGCTGCTTGCGTCTTTTCACTAGATAAGAAGGGACTGTCAGCAATTGACCCCTTCCAAGCTGCAATGCAGGTTACAATCATAATGAAAACCAATAACAAAATAATGGATAATCAATAGACCACCTCGGATGGATGCAAAGAAAGCAATGCAAATTAAAATTGATTGAGGGAAGCAATAATGACGACAAAAATCACCCATAACAGCCAAATAGAATGCAAGATAAGCGAGCTCAGGTAAGATAATTATCAGAAGCATCCTTCTAACAGTCAATATATATAAAGAAGACAAACCTTTCCATACTTCTGACTTCTTGCTTGGAGATGTAAACCATCATGTTGAAAACCACGAACTTCAGCCTGGAAAAGGGCAAGTATTTGCAACACTAGATCAGTTCTTAACTTATTCCTTTCTTTTTTCATGATTCAATTAGGCCAGTAATATATGTTAGAGGACTTACACAAATGACATCATTCTCCTCAAAAATGCTGCGCATGTTGAGTTCATCCAGAGCAGTTCGTCGCCTCTAGCAATGAAAGAGTAAAACTTAAACAAGGGAATAGCAAGGGAAAATGGAGCAATTTTCCTTACTTTTTATATTAGAATGAGAGTATCTTTAATATCAGAGTTGCTCAAATGTGTTTTCCCTTGAAAATTCCAAAAGATGCTCTCTAACTATATTCATGTAATACTAATACTCATACATCTTTTCCCAGTCAGTGGAATATCCACTAGTTATCTAAAGAAACAGAATTTAGCGGATCAAAAGGAAAGAATTTCCATACTTCCAACTCACAATTTGCATCAGCCTTCAGATTGATAAACAAGAGTTCAAACAAAGAAAACCAGACCATTTAACAGATTTACATGAATCCATAGAACAGAACTCCGTGCTTTGTGTCAATATCGTCAATATCACCATTACTAGTTAGCTTGCTTCTCTGGTAAAGGAAATTTATCACTACTGATGCATGTTACCAATTCGGGCTAACAGTTATACCTGGATGCCGTCAGGTAAGTTCATTGAAGAAAGCATCAACACTGCATCATGGCTATAGTTTATCTCCACTCTCCAACGCTTTGGAGCAACCTGGACAATAAACAATTATCAGATTATAACAAGACCCATAAAACTAAACATATCTCAACAAAGAAAACAAAGCATCAATAATCAAATTAAACAAAATTAACTAAAAGGGAGTTAAGCATTCGTTTACCTCAATAACACGCCCCACTATGATATCTCCAACCTCCGGCTTGTACCTACCATCATTTTTGTTTTTTGATAATTCCGTAAGCACCAATGAGCAAAGTTTCCATAAAAATCAATGTTAAAAATCGCTAGGCGGTAGGCGGGCGCCTAGGCGTTTTCTTTAATTTATAATTATTTTGTATTAATCGCGGGTGGAGGCCTGGTGATGGTGGTCTGTCGTGAGCGCGAGAGAGAGACAGAGACAGAGACAGAGAGAGAGGCAGCGTTAAAGTCAGGAAAGGACCCGCCCAGACCGCCTAACTCCCGCCCAGCCGC